AATGGAATCAGCGCCTCGTTTCAACTTCACACGGTCGAATTGATACTGGACCTGGGCGAAGATCGATCGATCCTCGGCGATCCGAACGTCGACTAAGCCAGGGGCGTTATGGAGATCTGGCCTCGAGGTTGCTGTCTGCGCAGCAAGACCCGACAACTGCCGGGTCGTGCAAGTTCTAGCCCAGTCTCTAAGCCCCGCCAAATCAGCGGCGGAAGGCGACGCTTGTGGAGCGATGTCGCGCCGAAGGGAGCTCTGCCATGAGCGCCTCTGAGAGGGGCTGCGGCTGTCGCCCCTCCTCTGAGACTGGAGACGGCGCCGCTCGGGGTCTCCTCGCTGCGAGGTCCGTCCAGCGCGACCCCCTGTGACTCGCGCATCTTCTGACGCGGGGGCCGCGGGGGGGGCCGCGAGACGTCGCGCGCCCTAGCGGCGGCGGCGCGCGGGAGCGCTCTGAGGAGACGTTTCATTGGCGCCACCGCCGCGGGCGCCCCCGCCGGCGTGGGTTGGCAGAGACGGCGGGGCGAATTCCGGCGGCGACCCCGAGGGCTACCGCAGGCGTTTCCACCGGCGAGGGTTCTAAAATAAGGGCGGCGGCAGGTGGCGACGCGGTCGACTGCGCGCCGCGCCCGAGCCCTGGCGCGCCCGGCGCGGGAGGCGGGAAGGAGCCCATGACTGCTCCAAGTTCCGCCACAAGTCGAGCGTCGGCGCCGACTTCTCCTGGGAGGGGGATCGCGGCATCGCGCTCTGCCCCATTGCCCTCTCCGCGGCGTCATGGCGCCCGCGTGCCGTCGAAGAGCTGGCGCGCGTAGAGGCGCTGGCCCCCGCGGGGCCCAGCGCCGCGCGGCGGGCTCAAAAGACGGCGCGGGGCGCCACAAAGAAAAGCAAAAACGAATGGGCAGAAAAACTGCGGACGTAGGTTAACGACCGAAGAGTCGAACCCGCTGAGATGTTCGTAGGCAGAGGACGATTGGGAAGAGAGAAGATAACCCTCTTCCCCATTGCGCCGCGGGATGAGCGGCGCGAGCGCTGTCCTATAGGACTGTCCAATGTCCAGTACATGAGCCGAGACGGTAGCAGGATAGCTGGATAGAAAGGCGATGCGAGTGGACTTCACGCACGCGACGCGCGGGGCGCGGGGGCGCGCGGCGGCGCCAGGCCGCGGGGGCGCGGGCGCGCAGGGTTGCAGGGGCGCGGGGGCGCGGGGGCGCGGGCGCGCAGCGCAGGGGCGCGGGGGCGCGCGGCGGCGCAGGGACGCGCGGGGGTGGGGGCGCGGGGGCGCGGGCGCGCAGGGGCGCGGGAAAGCGGGGGATGGGCGCGTGGATGCGTGGATGCGCAGGGGCGCAGGCTTCGGGTCGGGCGCGGGGGCGCGGGGCGCGGCGATGGGACGATGGCGCGGGGGCGCGGGGCGCGCGGGGGCGCGCGGGCGCGGGGGCGCGGGGGCGGAGCGCGGGGCGCGGGAGCCCGGGGGCGCGGGGGCGCGGGGGCGCGAGGGCGCGGGGGCGGGGCTGCGTGGGCGCGTGGGCGCGTGAGCGCGCGTGGGCGCGTGAGCGCGCGTGCGCGCGTGCGCGTGCGCGAGCGTGCGCGCGTGCGCGCGCGTGCGCGTGTGCGCGTGTGCGCGCGTGTGCGCGTGTGCGCGCGTGCGCGTGGGCGAGCGTGCGCGCGTGCGCGTGTGCGCGTGTGCGCGTGTGCGCGTGTGCCCGCGTGTGCGCGTGTGCGCGCGTGCGCGTGTGCGCGTGTTCGCGACTGCGCGTGTGCGCGTGTGCACGGGTGCGCGCGTGCGCGCGTGCGCGCGTGCGCTTGTGCTCGCGCGCGCGCGTGTGTGCGCGTTTTCGCGCGTGCGCGCGTGCGCGCGAAAGCGCGTGCGGATGTGGGCGCATGCACATGTGCGCGCGTGCGCCCGCGCGCTTGCGCGCGTGCGCGCGTGCGCGTGTGCGCGTGCGCGCGTTTGAACGTGCGCGCGCGTTGGCTCGTGCGCGCGCGCGTGCGCGCGCGTGCGCGCGTGCGCGTGTGATCGTGTGCGCGCGTGCGCGTGAGCGCGTGTGGGCGTGTGCGCGTTTGCGCGTGAGCGCGTGAGCGCGCGTGTGCGCGTGCGCATGGGCGCGCGTGCACGCGCGTGGGTGTGCGCGTGTGCGCATGTGCGCGTGTGCGCGTGTCCAAGTGTGCGCGTGTGCGCGTGTGCGCGTGTGCGCGTGTGCGCGTGCGCGCGTGCGCGCATGTGCGCGTGTGCGCGTGTGCTGCGCGTGTGCGCGTGCGCGTACGATTGTGTGTGATCGTGTGTGGTTGTGTGTGGGTGTGTGGGTGTGTGCGGGTGCGTGGATGGGTGTGAGGGTGTGTGGGTGTGGGTGTGTGTTGGTGCGTGGGTGTGTTGGTGCGTGTGTGTGCTTGTGTGTACGTGTGTCGTGTGCGTGTGCGTGTGCGTGTGTGTGTGTGCGTGTGCTGTGTGTCGTGTGTCGTGTGGTGTGTGGTGTGTGTGTGGTGTGTGGTGTGTGGTGTGTAGTGTGTGGTCTGTGGTGTGGGGTGCGTGGTGTGTGGTGTCTGGCGTGTGGTGTGGGGTGTGGGGTGTGGTGCGTGGTGTGCGGTGTGTGGTGTGGTGTGTCGTGTGCGTTGTGGGTTGTGTGTTGTGGGATGTGTGGTGTGCAATGTGTGCTGTGCGGTGTGTGTTGTGCAATGTGTGTGTTGTGTGATGTGAATTGTGTGCCGTGAATTGTGTGCTGTGTGCTGTGTGGTGTGCGATGTGTGCTGTGTGTTGTGTGTTGTGTGCCGTGAGCTGTGTGGTGTAGGCTGTGTGGTGTGCGATGTGTGCTGTGTGTTGTGTTATGTGGTGTGTGGTGTGCGTTGTGTGGTGTGTGGTGTTGTGTGTGGTGTGTGTGTGTGTGTTGTGTGTTGTGTGTTGTGTGCTGTGTGTGCTGTGTGTTGTCTGTTGTGTCGTATGTTGTGTGTTGTCGGATGTGTGGTGTGTGCTGTGGTGCGTGGTGTGTTGTGTGCGTGTGTGCTGTGTGGTGTGCGTGTGTTGCGTGTTGTGTGGTGTGTTGTGTGCTGTGTGGTGTGTGGTGTGTGATGTGTGCTGTGTGTTGTGTGTTGTGTGTTGTGTGGTGTGTGTGTGTGTTGTGTGTGGTGTGTTGTGTGTGGTGTGTTATGCGGTGTGTTGTGTGTTGTGTGGTGTGTAATGTGTGCTGTGTGGCGTGTGTTGTGGTGTGTGCTGTGTGCTGTGCGTGTGGAGGGTGGTGGGTGGTGTACGCTGTCTGTTGTGTATTGTGGTGTGTGGTGTGTGGTGTGTGCTGTGTTGTGTGTTGTGTGTTTTATGTTGTGTGATGTGTGTTGTGTGGTGCGTTGTGTGTTGTGTGGTGTCTGGTGTGTGGTGTGTGCTGTGTGCTGTGTGCTGTGAGTTGTGTTGTGTTGTGTGTGCGTGTGTGGGTTGTACGCCGGGGCTCGATGTTGAGAGGATGTCTCAGGCGAAAGTGCACTTGTTTTCCAAGCATCGTATTGGGAAGGACATCGATGTTTGGAGGATGTCTCAAACGAAACTGCAATGTTCGAAGATTCGGGTTCAAAATCATTGAATCCTACTTTGTTTGACACTTTTGTGAAACGAGAACTGGCAATGCTGTGGTGTTGAACCGTGACGCTGCGATCTGCAGGAGGGTTACCCCCGACTTTCAGAATTGTGAGGATTTCCCGAGCGGAATGGCCTAAACAGAAATCCTAACGGGACGAGAATTAATCGTCTCTGAGCTTTACTCCCTCGGAGAGGTGCGCATGAGAATAGCAATCTGCATCGTCGCAGATGCCAATATTTGAGGGCATATTTGCCGTACGCATATGTGCGATGTGTCCTTTTAGCAGTAACAGGCACGAGCGGGATTGGAGGGGGGGAGAGGGAGGGGGCGGAAGGCCGAAGAGGGAGGGGAGGGGAGGGGTGGTGGGACGATGCCATGGGCGAGTTCGGAGGGGAGGGGAAGGAGGAGGAGCAGCAGGATAGGAGGGCACCGACTGCATGCCCACTGCGCACCGATCCTGGACTGGCCCCAAACTTGGGAACACGGAAATGCGATACAACCACCCCTAGGGACCACGAGCGGGAGGAGCCAGGGGGGGTCCCTTATGGTGGTGTGGTCGCCCCTCTCGCATCCCCGATTCCCAGCTTGGGGAGGCATCGTGGGCCTCCTCGCTGGAGGTGGCTCCCCTGGTGGCGGTGGTGGTGTCGCTCCTCCTTCCCCCGAATCCTGGGCCGAGGCCCATCATGGGCACAGAGTCTGGCTCTTCTGACCTCGCCAGGAGGGCATACACGTGACGCGTACACCCACCCTGGGCGCAGGGCTGGCCTGGCCAGGCCCGATGTCGGAGCCTCGAGAACCTCCCAAATCGGCAAAACACACACACACACACACACACAAATTCCACAGTCAACCCGTAGAGTAAGGAAGCATGATAAGGATGCAAGGGCCGTGGAAGGCCATATCGACACTGTGCGAGAGGGGCGCGGCCAGCGAAAGCGGCCAAGGATGGGCGGAAGGGGGAGGATGCAAGAGTATCCTTGGAAAGTCGCTCATCCTTACTATGCGGACGTACTGCAGAGAGTAAACAAAACAAAAAGCACATGCACAACAAACACCTCGACAAGCGAAACCGCGTAGCAAACGCGCTCAAATAAAGAAACGAACAGGGCAGGGCTGCTTTGTCAACGCCCAGAGCCATCGAATAAACCCTGGTTAAGGGAGTCGGAGTAGTTTCCTCCTTTGGAACTCCATCCTCGCTCTCACCTTATGTTGCTCCCATCGTACTTAAGGACCATATCCCAAAAAGAATTTCGAGCACCCGGACAAGTGTCGACAGAGTGTCTCCCAGGGCCCGACACGTGAATACCCACGAGGTTCGGTACTTTTTGGGTGGTCGAAATTCTTTCTCGTGGTCAAAGCGAAAGTATGCTGGAACATCCTCGCTCTCACCGATCGGAGACCACGCCGTAGCGCGCGCGCAAGCGCGGCCGGTGCTGGGCGCGCGGCGAAGGCGCCACGGACACTGCAGCGTCTGTCGCCCACCTGGCGTCCGCCGTAGGGCGACGAGATCTATACACGTCCACTGCTCCCTGGCCAGGCCCGCCCTGAAACCAACAGCGGTGTATACAGTCAACCATGATAGTAAGGATGGGGCAACTTGGCCAGGGAACGCTTGCATCCTTGCCCCTTCGGCGCATCCTTGCCAACTTTCGCTGGCCAGCCCTTCAGGATACCCTTGCATCCTTCGGAATTCGGCCGCGCTCCGCGCGGAAAACCTCAACATGGCGTTCCAAGGCCCTTGCATCCTTACCGCGCATCCGTATTATCCTGGTTGACTGTACGCCAGGCCCTCCTGGCCAGGCTAGGAGAGCGTACATACAGCTCCTGGGCCCAGGACGGGCCAGGCCAGGGAGCAATGAACGTGCATAGATCTCGTGGCCCGACACCTGGAGTCCGCCGCCCACCTGGGGATACCAAAAGGTACCGATACCGCTAATCCCCGGACCTCTCCCGGGGAGTATTCTGACCAGGATTTCGAAGCGAATCCAGCGGTGGCGACGACGAAGGCCCAGGAGGCCCCAAAAAAGGAGAAAACGAGGGAAGGTAGAGGTACGGGTACCTTTTCCTCCTCCGGCCACCGGGGCTTCGGCTGCACCGGCACATCGGGCTTCTCCCCCCCGCACAGCGGGCAATTCGCCTCTCCGGCCGCGGCGGGGCGAAGCAGGGCTGGACCGAATCGTCGTTTTTCGTCTTCGTTTTGCTCTACCTGTTTTTCCTGCACCTCCCTCCTTTTTTTCCGTGCGAGCGCCCTTGATCGGGTTGCAGCGTGTGCCATCTTCAACGCGGTGTCTAATGCCAACAGCTCCATCTCAAACGATGACGCAGCCTTCGCCCTAGAAAGATGATGGCAGCTTGTCACGTGTCGCTACAAATGCCCGTCTTCCAGTACTGCGCCAATCAGATGCACCTCCCTCCCAAAACGAAAAACGAGACGCAGCCGAGGTCCAGCAGAACCACGTTTGGGTCCAGCCCTGGGGCGGAGGGGGCACAGCGGAGGGCGCGGCGGCCCCCGCCGCGCCTCGGACAGCGGCGCCCGCCGGCGAGGGCGGGCAGGGGGGCCGAGGCAAGGAGTGCGAGGCGGGAATTTGTCCATGTCCACCGCCTGGGGGCCGACGTCCTGGTGCCCCAACGGGCGGCGGATATGGATAGATTTCGGCCCCCGGGGGCCCGAATGTGTCCATGTCCACCGCCCGCCGAGGCTCCGAAAACTGACCCTCCAGGCGGTGGTCATGTATAGACTCCCGCCTCGGAACATTTTTTTGGGGGGGGATCCCAAGCAACCCTCGCGGCCACGCTTGGTTAGCACACTCTGGGTTTCTTCCTAAGCGTGGGGGGCTACCCCCCCGACGGGGGTCAGCCTCGCCTCGTCGTCGCGCCGCGACGGGGGTCGGAGCGCCTTCGGCGCGCGATGGCTTCCCGCGACGGGGGTCCACGTGGGGCTGTCGGCGGGGGTGACGCCCCCCGACGCTTATCAAGAAACTCGGATTAAGTCGGGCGTGTCCCCCTACAGGGGGATTTTGGATGAAAAATAAAATATACTACAAAAAGCTCCCAAAGCATCAACAATTGTCAAAAAAACGTCCCCATACCGTGTATAACAAGAATTGAATGCTCCCCCTGAAGAAGGACAGGGCCGACTTAACGCTACGGTCGCCGGCTGATCAGCAGCTGGGCTCCGCCTGCTAGCCATTATGCGGGGGGGGGCAGGCGGGCAGGGAGGTGGGGAGCGGGGGGCGGAAGGGGAGGAGGAGGAGGAGGAGGAGGAGGAGGAGGAGGAGGTACTAGCCGTTCTGCAGGGGGGCGGGCGAGCAGGGAGGCCGGGAAACGGGGGGCGGGGTGGCGAGGACCCTATGCGCACGAGGCGTCGCCCGGCCAGGGCAATCCTAGCATAGGCTTAGGTCGGGCATGTCCCCCTACAGGCAGAAGTTGAAGGAAAAATTAAACATACTCAACACAATACTCGAACATGATCAAAAAAGAATGAAAAAGTCGTCCCCATACAAAATGTTTGACTCGTCTTGAATATTCCTCCTGTGGAGGGACACGCCCGACTTGACCATAGGCCAGGTGGCCTAGACATCCTCTCGGGGCCCAAGCTGGCTCTGACCGTCTGCGGAGGGCGGCGGGGGGGGGAACTCGTTAGCACGGGGGAGATGGGGAGTCCCTGGCCTTGCACCACGTACAGGTCAGAGAGAGAGAGAGACAGCATGCCATGATAGGCCAGAGTGGAACCGCCAAGCAAAAGAGGAAACAAGTAGGTGGCACGGCGAAAGAGACGGACGAGGTGGCCATTGCTATCACGGAGGCAGGCGAAAACCGCTATTCAGGCGCGCCTTGCTACCATACACAAGGTTGACCGAGTTGTTCTTGCAACTGGGCAGTCAATTCATTGACACGACAAATGTAGCATGTAAGATGAAGCAACCATCGAACGATCAATACATAGACGTGCGTTTGCCGGGATGACCAAGCACTTATCGCATGAAGGTACCATGTACGCCATCGGAAGTTGGAAGGTGGTGGAAAAAACGAAGTGACCCCAACCAGGAAATCGGTTCCAGCCTCCCTTCGTGTCGTGCGCGCGAGGCAGAGCTGCGCGACGGCTGCGATATATCGGCATAGCTAGGGCGAAGTCGGGCACACAATTTCTCTTCCAGGCACGCGGTGGCTCACCGTGGTTCTCCGGCGGATGTCGCGGGGTTGTTCCATGGTTATCCCACGGATGTCCCGTGGGTTATCCCATGGTTGTCCCGTGGGTTGCTGTCCCGTGGGTTGTCCCGCAGTGGTCCCGTGGGTTGTTTTGCGGATTGAACCGTGGTTCTCGCCTCAGTCGTCCCGCGGGTTCTCCCGCTGGTTATTCTGTGGGTTGTCCCGTTGGTTGTCCCATGGTTGTCCGGGGGGCTGTCTCTTGGTTGCCCCGTGGGTTGCCCCGTGGATGTCCCGTGGGCCACACCCGAGTGAAAAACGTGGAAACCATATGCCGCAACGGTGATGGGACAACTTGGCGCATACACGATGTTCGCCACACCCGCCAGCGCTCCTGTGCAGCCCTCCAAGTTGTGGACAAGAAGAAGAAGAAGTAGAAGTGTACTCCGCCCTGCTGCTGCTGCACGCCATCATACGCTGTCAGTATGCGCCTCATCCTTCCCAACCCCTACTCCTATCCCCGCCTCCTCCTCCTCCACACTCTTCCCAGCATCCCCCCTCTCTTCCTCCTCCTCCTCCTCCTCCTCCTCCTCCTCCTCCTCCTCCTCCTCCTCCTCCTCCTCATCATCATCATCATCATCATCATCATCATCATCATCATCATCATCATCATCATCATCCTCTTCCTCCTCCTCCTCATCATCATCAGCAGCATCATCAGCATCATCATCGTCGTCGTCATCATCATCACCATCACCATCATCGTCAGCATCAGCATCAGCATCAGCATCAGCATCAGCATCATCATCATCAACAACAATGTCCTCCTACTTCTCTTAAAGGGAAGAACAACACTTTGCAAGCACCTAGGTACGCCTGCGACCGTCGCACTGTGCCAGCGGGCAGACATCAGAATGCCGCTGCGCACAGCATCACATAATGCAATAATGCCGACAAACGCCAGCGCACACCAGCTGCCCACCCTCTCCATCACTCTTCCTCATCCTCCTCCTCCTCCTCCTCCTCCTCCTCCTCATCTTCCTCCTCCTCGTCTCTTCCTATCCCGGCGGCATGAGAACGTAACATGAGAAGCTCACACCCATGAGACGGAGAAGCGGTGAGCGGCACCCCTCGGTCCCGCAGTGCCAGTCGCCAGGTCGGCCGCCGTTCTGGGTGCCGCGGCTTGTTTCTGTCAGAGGTGTCAGAGAAGCCAGTCGAGGATCAAGGCTCGAGGGTTGAGGATCGAGACTTGTTGATGGTGTTGCCAGATGCAGGGCTCGCACTGCGCCCCCCCCCCTGGCCATGGCAGCACACCACACCACGCGGATCGTGCCCACAAGGAGCACCACCTAAAGGCCCAACGACAAGGTCCATACAAGGGCCCCCCGCCTATGTCGGCACACCCGTCACACGATCGCTCCAAGACTGTCCCAGAGGCCCCCAAGAGTGTCCCAACACGGCTCAAGAGGCGCTTATGACGGCCCAAGGGAGCCCCAAGACAGCCCAACGACGGACCCGAAAGAGGTAAGCTGAACTGAGATGTCGCGCCCTCCACCCCAAGGGTGCCCCCGAGACAAGCAGCAGGCCCCGAAGAAGCCTCTCAACAAACCCAAGAGGCACCCTAAAAGGCCCAAAAGAGGCCCCGAGAGCCCCCCGAACGACCCGCAAGAGGCCCCGAGAGCTTCAAAACTTCCTTCAAGATGCTCCCAAGAGGGTCCCCGAGTGGTACCACGAGAGGTACCTCTCAGGTACCACTGCAGTCAGATGCTCGAATCCAGACGGGGCGCATCCCAGGAAGCCTCCGACAAGCACACCAGGAAAACGCGACAAGCCACCAACGCTCCTCCGCCCCGCAATCAAGGCCAGGTGGCGGGTTCTATGTGTAAATCTGTGCACAAACACATACACTCACACAGACACGCACAACGTCGTCTTGTCGGCCAAGGAGCTCGGCGCACGGACGCCCTAGCTTCCCGAGCTGTGCGATGCCGGCACGTCTATGCACCGAGCCCCCTCGCCGAACCCCGTGGTCCCCTGGTCGACACTGCCAGGACGTGCAGGAGGACGCCAACTGCACACATGCCAGGCCCAGTAGGGACCCGGCTCAGGACCGGTAATCACAGGTTCAGTCGGCTTCCCTCGACTTGAACCCCTCAAAAAGGCCTCGCCCCTCGGAGGCCTCCGGAGGCTCCCAAAGGCCCGAAGTTGCCCGGGGGGGGGGGTCGACGGGGGCTGAACAAGGCCGCCCCCCAAAAACGTCCAGACCGCTTCTTCTCGCGTGTGCAAAATACACTCGCACA